GGTCACAAGCATTTCATTAATACAGCCAAACTCACTTATTTAAAGATTTGGCTTGAAAATGGTAGTTTTGGTGACGTTACATAATATTTGGCAGTGTTATCTCTCTATCTTTTTATCTATCTATTTCTCTATCTATTTATCCATCTATTTTAGACTCCTCAAATCAGTGAATTCTGACACTATCCTTTGTGAGCCATGCCATTCCTGTTTTACATTCAAGACTTTCTTCTTGGGCCTGAAACCTTTGCATAAAATGAATAATTTAAATGTAAGCCCTACGACTCAAAGCTAAAAAGCAAGTCAATGCCAGCCAATCAATACCTTCCCTCAATTCAATGCAATCCTTTCATATTTGTAAATATTGATAATGAAGGATGCCAAGGTTGAGAGACAGAGGGAGGTACACACACCCAAGCATCTTTTCTCTTTGTTGTGTCTTCTTCCATTTTCTGGACAATGTAGCACCTGCTGAAAGCCATTGTCTCCTCTCCTGCTTCTTTTTTTCCCCTTTGCAATGCTTTTGTCTATTTCCATATTTTGTCCATCTGTTTTTGTCTTGTCTATTGTGCGAGGAAATGCCCCCATCTCTGTCTCTGTTAGCAGACAGAAACCACTACTGACCTGCAAAACAACCCGGGTTCTGCCAAAACAAACTTTTTTTTTTTTCACCTCTTGCTCAAACCTGATAAACAGTATAGGTTATATAATATTGCTGCTTGACCTGGAACTGTACTGTGTGTGTGTGTGTGTGTGCACGTGTTTTTTACCTTTTAAATTAATTTTGATATTTAACAAACAAAAATTTACAAAAAACAAAAACAAAACCAAACAAAAAAATAATAATCTCAACAGATATCTGAAAAAAAACTCTCTCTCAAGTACAACTGGACCAAAAAGGGTTAAAGTGCTGCTGAGTACTTCAGGGTAGTAGGCTATAAGTAGAATATTTAGTCCCAAAAAGCAATGCTAGAATGACCACAAAAATGTGAAATTAAAATAAATAAATAAATAAATAAGTGATACAATTGTGTACTATAGTTTGCACAATTTATTTATTATATGTTGTGTCAAAATTATTGTGGACCCAATCCGGTCTCTCATTGTCTTGTAGGAATTTTGTCTTGTCCCATCGCTCATAAAAAGGTAGCCTATCAAATATTGTATATCAGCGTGCATGTCAGAGTCACATCGAGGCTAATGATACTTTCGAGAAGAAGAAACCACACGATGAACAACATTTAGTCTGTTCCATATGATCATTTCACAGTCTGCCACTCAAAGGGGCTGCTGTCTATTTTAAGTCCGGAGTGATTCAGACCTGCTCGTGTCTTATTTTTGAGCCAGTTGGCCCCATATTAGACGTGCTGCTTCTCAGTGAATGCACTCATGTGTTTGGAACTGAGGACATGTTATGCTTTAGTTAGTACATGCTCTGATTGCAGGTGTCTCATTTGGTTTGTCCTTGTATGGACAGGATTGTTGTGGGGGCACATTCGGTATTCGGAGGTCTGCTTTGTGTCTAATTGAACTTGGATCTCCATTTGAGAACTCAATTAAATGTGCTTCGGTGGTACTTTATTTTCTGAATGCTCTGTTTTAGATCACTACGGTGGTTTACAATTAACCAAATGTAAAATAAAGATCAAATACAGAGTACCTTGCTTGGAAGAATCCAGACTCATCGCTGTATAGCAAATACAGAGAAATATCCTTCTGGATTTCCAAGCAACCGAATACCAGAAAAAAAAAAAAAACATCTTTCTTCTTTAAAGGCGCAAGGAGGCTCCACCACCTGCTTGATGTTATTGCTTTATCTGGAAAGTTCCACAGTATGACATTAAACCTATTTATCTCCATGGAGAGAGGGAATGCTCCTAGGCCAGGTTATAGGTCAGATATGGAGAGGAGGCATGTTTTTCAGTGTTTTTTGAGCATACAATCACCTTTAATTCATTAGAAGCAAGAAAGTCTTGATATCATCATCCAACAAAGCATTTCCATCAAGACAGGCAGCCACCTGAAAACTTAAATAGTGCAAACTTCCCCTACTCTGACTTGTGGATTTTATACATTTAAACTACAGATTCATAATGTACGTTACATTACATTACATTACGTTACATAGCCTATCACAAAATAGACCTACAGCCAACACTTTTCCAGTGATCTGTGAAAGTCTGCTACACTTCTTTGCACACAACTTAATACTATCAGGATAAAATCAAGTCATTTACAATATAGGATATACATTAAGCCTTACTAATCTCACCTGTAACATCCTCAAGTTTATTCAGCAGTGTGCTGTGGGCCAAGTAGATACATAGCCTACTTATTGTGAGACATGTGCGCCGTCTAGTGATCAATGAGAATACGACACCAAAACATTGTCAGTAAGAACGTCTAATCCAACTATGACAAAGAAAGACGTAGAGATTCTTTTAACCGTTATTATGTTGTATTTACCTGCTGGACAGTAGCATTTCATATTTAAAGACTGGAGCTCAACAAATCCTTCAGAAGACATGCTGCAGTGATTATTCTGAGCTCGGACTCCAACAGTGACACTGGAGTGGAGATCGTGGGCTGCTACTCAAACAGAAGGGGGGGGGTCTCACCGTTTCTCAGATTTTTTTGTGTGCAATTTTGCAATTTTTTACAGCGTATGAACGCGTATTGTGTATTACAGGCGGGTACAAATTACACACAGGTGGGTCAGGACTAAACCAGGTCTAAACCAGGACTAATCTTGGACTTGAGAGAGAACGCCGTTTCAGTCACGTGATCATGATGATGCGCAAATTTCTGGTGGAGGGCAGGAAGTGAAGACAAACACGACAAACACGGCTCTGGAGAACACAGATATGGAGAAGAGTTCTTATTGTAAGGATTTAGAGCCAGTAGCAAGGCAAAAGTACGGGCAGTTAGTTGACAAATATATTGGGCATGACCCCATCTTATTGAAAATGAGATAATTTTCAACCGAAGAAAAATATTTGCCGACAATCAAGGCAGAGGATATCACGAACTATTTAGCTCTTCAGACATCGTTCTACACCAGACAACAGATGAAGGCGTACAAAAGTTTGGAGACATATAACTTTTTTTGTCAGTGGATGGGTCCTCAACCTTGGTGCAAAACGCCTAAATGATGATTATCGTTTGGTCTTCGCCAGGGTTGAGTGTTTCTCTTATTTTATGTGTATAGACTGTTATGGGAAAAACTGCAGTGTATCAGCAGTAACCAGTCTATCTGGGTAACAGGTTTGTAATCCACTTTTTACGGCGTTTTTCTGTCAGCTTTTCCCATTTCTGACCTTTGTGGACGACTATATTCGGTACTCTAAAAAAATCGCTTTTCCTTCTCTCGGTTAGAACAACTGGCACAGCCGTAAACTACACAACACATCGGCATTTTCCTCCAGTCAGTTCACTTCCTGACCTCCATCTGATTTTGCATGCTGACAAACGTAGCCCTGTGACGTCACGTAAAACCCAGCTATTCGCGCGTCTTCGTGATCACGTGACTGAACCCCTCCTATTGCAGCGTGAGGTCCTTTCCGATGGTGAGTCCTGTTTCAGTTCTGGTTTAGTCCTGGTTTAGTCCTTGTTCAGTTGTGGATTAGTCCTCCTCTTCAGTCTTGGAATCAGTCCTAGGTTAGTCCTGGTTTGGTCTTGGTTCAGTGTGAGAGACTTGATTAATGAATTTACAGTTACGCATGATTGTGATGAATTAGTGTAACCTTGTTCTTCTTGTTGTTTTGAATTCTGAACGTTGTTGTTTTTGCGAGATGTATTTGAACGCCCCGCACAGTTTCTTGGTACGTGCCTTGAACTAGACTGACGTGTGTTTTTTGTCTTTACCGCGGCTAGGTACGGTATGAGAGCGGGACTGTTACAGCCGATTTAAATTTTTGTGTGTGTGTGTGTGGCTTTGTAATAAATATCCCCTGTGGAAGAGAACTGAATCGTTTTTGTGCCTAAAGATCTGCAACATCAGCACATGGCGTAGGCAGCGCAAAAGTTTGATATAATCTCCGGTTAACGGGCGGGTGCGGTGTTGTACTGGGTATCATTCGTTTTTCAATATAAAATCAAAAATAAGAAAACGAAAAAACAACAGTTTTCTTCATTATTTGTCCCCAAAACCAAAATAAAAAAACGAATAACAATTTGTTTTTTCAGTTTTCGATTTTGTGTTTAAATGAAGAATGGAAAAAAATGGATAACGACTGTTTACGTGACTTCCGTGACTGCGATGCCGCACTTTTGCACCGCGTACGGACTGAACCAGGACTGATCCAGGTCCGGGACCAGACCGGGACCAGACCAGGACCACTGGACCACTGGACCACTGGACCACTGGACCACTGGACCACTGTTTGTGTCTCGCTCCTTCTGAGTCACAGAGAACTACGAGAGACGCTCAGTTTAATGAACGGTACTGAAAACCCGGACATTTGCATCACTTTATAAAAAAAAACCCAGACGCCCAGGACAGGACGCAAAATACGGACATGTCTGGGGAAAAACGGACGTTTGGTCACCCTACGACGGTTTGTGTCTGCTTGCTCCTTCTGAGTCACAGACGCTACGAGAGACGCTCAGTTTATTGAGCGGTACTGAAAACCCGGACATTTGCATCACTTTATAAAAAAAAAAAAAACCCGGACGCCCTGGACATCAAGCAAAATACGGACATGTCCGGGGAAAAACGGACGTTTGGTCACCCTACTTTTAACACCCCACACAGCCCCCGGCCTCTCAGGTCTAACTCTCTCAACCTACTGTCTGTCCCACCATCCCGTCTCAAAACCAGGGGAGGCTAAGCGTTCTCTGTTGTTACCCCCAAACTTTGGAATTGTTGGGTAGGAACTTCAACTAGAGTGGACTGTAGGCACTGGTTCGGGTGTAAAACTGTCACTGCTCTGGGGTGTCGGCCAGAACACCTCTTAAGGCCCAGATGAATATTCAGTAGGAGGAGGAAATGAGGAGACAACTGGTGGCGTTCAGGCTCTTGTATTGACATAAGGAGGTACACATTGATGGGGTTGAACATGAGTACTATGCATATGGGTGTGTGGTTTCTAGGAATAAACAGAAATAAAACATTCAATTACTAATTGTAATAAACAACAAACATACAATGAAACAGTAATAGGAAACTAAAACACATAATAATAAGGTACAAACTTACTGCAGTCATAAACGCACACTTCCAAAAAACCAATCTGCTAATCTAAAGTAAACTCCATTTTACAGGAACCACGTTTTCCCCAGTCACAATTTAGACAATATAGGAGGTCAGAGCGCCCTCTAGTGGACCCTCCACAGATTACAATAAACAAGAAAACTTAACTAACAAGAACTTAGAACTCAAAGGGCCTTTTGTACAGCCGCCCCCAAATGTATGAAGTACATTTGCTCACAACAAAAGGCAACTACCAAATAAACGCTCATCTCAGGGCGACAGTCCTTTATCTTCATCTGGGAGGGCTGGCAGGATCACCAGCCTTGCAACAGGTCGGGTGAATGTTCTATCCTTTATCTTAACGTCAGCAGACCTGATGTGTCCGTCGGGACTGGGGTGGACCTTGGAGATGCGGCCCACGAGCCATGAAGCCCGAGGCAGCTGTGGATCCACAATCATTGCCACAGAACCTTCTGTGACATCTGCGGAGGATGACTGCCACTTCTGCCGGTACTGCAGACCAGGAAGATACAGCCGGATGAAGCGAGACCAGAAGTGATCGGCAAGCACTTGAGAATGCCTCCACCTCCGGCGACTCAGGAGCTCTTCTTTAGGATAGACCACTTGAGGAAGTGATACATCCGGCCGCCCCATTAAAAGGCAGTTGGGAGTGACAGGATCAGGATCACTGACGTCAGATGGGACATAGCCCAACGGTTTGGAATTCAGGATGCCCTCCACCTCCACTAAGACCGTGTGGAGGACTTCTTCTTGCAGGGGCTGGGCTCCAACTGTAGTGTAGAGCGCAGTCTTGACTGATCGAATCTCCTGCTCCCATACTCCTCCGAAATGAGGAGCTGCTGGAGGATTGAAGTGGAAGTGGATCTTCTGAGGAACTAGGAGCCTTTGCAGGTCAGAGGTCATGAACATAAAAGCTGTTTGGAGTTCACTTTCTCCACCGCGAAAGTTGGTGCCTCGATCTGAATACAGCTCAGCTGGAGTTCCTCTCCTGGCAATGAACCGCCGGAGCGCCATGAGGAAGGAGTCAGTATCGATGGAGGTGAGGACATCAAGGTGAACAGCCCTGACAGTAAGGCACTTAAAGATTATGCCCCACCTCTTCTCCACACGACGACCTATCTTGACTTCGAAAGGTCCGAAGCAGTCCATGCCTGTCGAATAAAAGGCAGGCTTGTACAGGCGGAGTCGGGCAACTGGTAAATCAGCCATCTTGGGGACAGTGGGCTGTGATCTCCATCTGCGACACTCAGGACAGGTTCTCTAGAAGCGCTGAACAGCTTCCCGGCCTCTCAGAATCCAATAGGAACGCCGGATCTCCGCAAAGACCCTCTCTGGTCCTGGGTGACGCAAGCGACTGTCAAAGTCCTGGATAAGCAGGCGAGTGCAGGGGTGAGCTGGATCCAACACTACAGGGTGAAGATTGGAGAAGGCAAGATCTTCAGAGCGACGAAGACGCCCACCTACCCTGATGACTTCACTCTCGTGGTCGAACTCAGGGGCAAGTGCTATGAGACGACTACTGCGGCTGATAGGTTTGCCAGACTTGAGGAGACGATATTCCTCTGGAAAGACCTCCTACTGAACTCTCCGTAGGACAAGGATCTCGGCTTGACGGTAATCTTCTGCAGAGGGTGGTCCTTCTCTGGTGGCCGCCCCATTTAACTGCAGGATTGTCGCTTCTAACAACTGCATCCAGGTATTACACTCACTGAAGCTTGAGGTGACAGGGTTGGCGGCAGCAGAAACTCCGCAGAAGGCCTCTTTGCGAAGTTCAGCAGGGTCCAGAGGCTCTGTACAGATACTGCTCAGGGTCTGAGGGCCACTCATCTGGGGGTAAGAGCAGAAAGGGGGGGCCTTGGCTCCATCTGTTGGGTCTGCTTAAGTCCAGAAGTGACTTTCCTCGCGTTATGTCATCAGCAGGGTTTTGGGCTGAATCAACCAGGTGTGAAGGTGGGTGAGCTCCTGAATCTCTGCTATGCGGGTGCCAACAAAGACCTTGAAGCGACAAGACTCAGAACTCAGCCAGGTGAGTACTGTGGTGGAGTCAGACCACAGCACGACTCTCTTGATATCCAGGGTGAGCTCGTTTCCAAGGAGACTGGAGAGATATGCTCCGGAAAGAGCGCCGCACAGCTCAAGTCTGGGCATAGACAACACACGTTTGGAAGAAACTCCAGAGCGAGCCATCAGGAACGTTAGATGTGAACTGCCATCACTCATCATTGTTCTCATATAAGCTACGGCACCATAAGCCTGTTCGGATGCATCACAAAATATGTGAATCTCCCTTTCCCTTACAGACTCGGTAAGGTGCTTCGGCAGGTAAGGACGGGGAAGCAGGACTTGAGGGAGGAACTGCAACTCTTCTTCCCAGGTCCTCCACTGCTGCAACAGTTCCGGTGGTAGTTGAGGGTCATCCCAATCTCTTTGTTGGTCCCAGAGGCGCCTTACTAGCATTTTGGCTCGAGTGGTGTAGGGCAGGATAAACCCCAGAGGGTCATACTGACTTGCGAGAACTTTATAGATGTTCCGCATGGTGGGGGCTCCATAGGTAATAGGGCGGTGTCTGTAACCAAGAGTATCAGTGGGGAAGTGCCAGCTAAGGCCCAGAGTTGGCTCAGAGGTGTCTGCTTTGTCCTGAGCAAGCCACAATTCTGCACTTGTGGATCGGAGGTCTTCAGGTAAGTGGCTAATAACATCAGGCTCATTACTAGCCCACTGGCGAAGGACAAATCCAGCAGTGAACAAGAGGGCTCGCAGCTTGTCCACCAGGTCCTGGGCCTCTTCTAGGGTTGGCACACTCTGGAGAAGGTTGTTGACATAAAAGCACTGCCCCACCGAGTGGCAGAGCTGTTCATCAGCTTGGGCATGGTCTCTTGTGTGGCGTTGCAGGGCGTAGGTTGCACAACACGGGCTACACGTTGTGCCAAAGGGTAGAACTTGCCATTCAAAGACTGCTGCAGGTTCGTCTGAATGCAGGTCACGCCACACAAAACGCAAGAGCAAGCGGTCCTCCGGAAGAAGGCGAATCTGGTGGAACATGCCCTTTATGTCACCACTGACTGCCACTGCATGCTCTCGAAACCGGAGAAGGACACCGAGGAGGGATGCCCCTAAGTTTGGGCCAGGGAGGAGATATTCATTGAGGGTATGGCCCTGAAACTGGAAAGAACAGTTAAATACAAGGCGATGCTTGCCATTGTGGCTAACAAGGTGGTGTGGGATGTACCACGTCTCATCTGCTTGGGCAACCTCAGAAGGAGACAACTTAATCACAGACCCAGCCTGGACCAACTTCTCAATCTCAGAGCAGTAGATCTGAGCTCGCTCCGGATCTCTTTGGAGTCTCCTCTCCACACCTCTTAAACTGGGCATGACAGCACTGGGGGTAGCCTTGAGGTGTGGCATGTCCTTGCGGCGGAGGAGAGGGGTGGCGTAGCGGTGTATGCTTCCTACCACTATCCAAACTGTCCTCAGCTCAAGCAGGTCGGTGGCGTAGTTATCCTCTCTTGAGCGGGTAACTACCTTGCCTTCCTTCACTGGAATAACATCTGCCTGCCATAACTTCTCTACATGTTTCAGTAGCTCACTCACCTGAGGGGCAATGGTGGTGGTGAACAGGCACTGTTGCGGCAGGGGAGATGAGCAGATGAGGCTAGAGGGACCCTGTAATGTCCAACCTAACTTGGTGTGCATTGCTGCAGGACCACCTGGTGGACCCAGGCGAACAGCTTCCGTTGGAGTGATGAGCTAGGGGTGGTCACTGCCGATGAGAAGCAGGGGTTTGACCTTCTTGAAGGAGCGTATTGGCAGACCTCTAAGGTGTTTATACTTCCTCTGAAGTGATTCCACTGGGTAACTGTGCTCAGCTAGGTCGATACGAGTGGCTGTGAAGGCGTTGTTGACCTTATACTTCAACTTGGGTTTACCACCAGGGGAGATGTCAAATGTAACAGAAGCGCCGTGCAACGTCTGCACATCCTGTCTGATGGTGCGTAAAGGAAGTGTCTCTGGGACGCCTTGGAGGTCGAGCCTTTGGGCAGCCATGGGCAGCAGCATGGTCCTTTCTGACCCATCATCTAGTACTGCGTGGGTGTTCAGGGTCTTACCATTATGGTGGAGGATGACCGGAACGACTTTCAGCAGAACTCGGCCACTCTCTGTGGGTCTGTCGAGATACAGGACACCAGTAGGATTCTCACCTTCCTGCGCAGGGACCGTAGCTGGGTCAGGTGCTTTTGGGGGCTTAGAGTTGACCTGGTGAAGGACCTGTAGGTGGCGACCCTGACACAGGTTACAAGGTTTCTTGAGAGTGCACTGAGCTGCCTGGTGGGAGCGTGCGCAGCGCCAGCACCTCTTGTTAGTCTTTATCCATTCAGTCAGTTGCTCTTGGCTAAGCTTGATAATGTCTGGACACTGACTCAGGTGATGAGCTCGGTTATCACAGTAAGCACAATAGGGCTGCTGCTTAGGTTTGTTAGAGGTGTAACTTGGAGGCTTGGGTGAACTTTCTGCACCATGGAGCACAGTGGTGGTGCGCTTGCTGGGTCTGGCATCAGGCTTCTCTCTAGCACCCCTTGTAGTGGGCAGGCCATCGAAATCTTGACACCAGGACTCATACTTCAACCACGTGGCCAGGTCATCTAGGGTGTAAGTCTGGCCAGAGCGGTTAAACATACACCGTCTAAACTCAGCTCTCTGCTCCGAAGGAAGCTTACTTAGGAGTCGAGCCACATGGGAGCCACACTGGAGTTCAACCGCACCATCAGGGCCTAACGTCTTTAACATGCCCACAAGCGACTGTATCTGAAGGGCAAATCGCTCAAATGCCACCACATCCCCTCTGCGAATGTCAGGTGAGTCCATCACAGCTGCGATTCTTCTCAGGGCAAGCTGATGGGGCTGGCCAAGCTTGTCATTAAGGGCATTCATGGTGTCGGTGAAGGGTGTGGGCGAATGAAGGTAAGCATCAGCTATCAGCTTTGCCTCCTCTAGGTGTAGATGATCCAACAAAACCTGGTACTTGAATAACTCTGTACTGTCTGGGGGCAAGAGGTTCTCAAGGGCCATCTTCAAGCGTGCGAATTCCCCAGGATCCCGGCATGTGAGCTTAGGAATGCTCGGGCGAGGCCCCGTATAGGCAAACTCTGAAGCTACTGCTAAGTTTGGGGGTCTCTGAATTGATAATGTGCCCCATAATGGATCGGGAGGGGTTGGAGGAGGCGGGAATGATGCATCTGGCATGGGTCGTGCTCTCAGAGGTGGCATTGGAGTTGTTGACTTAGGCTGTGAAGTGGTGACCACTGGAGTGGGCGCAAATGGTGGATTGACTGGGTTCTGCTGTGCAGCCAAAGTCTCTCTCTTCAGGTTCTGGAGCTCATTCAACATTGTATCAAGGCGGTAAATCACAGGACTCTGTATGGAGGTCGGTTCCTCCTTAAAGTTAACTGGGGGTGGGGGCAGAGGCCAGTCCTCTTCTTCTTTAACAGGCTCTGGCACATGATGAACTGGAGTGACTGCTGGTGGTGGGGTGAGCTGCAGACTCTCAGCCTGGTTCAGCAGCTGCAGCATACTGGCGTGTATGGCCTGAAAATCAGCCAACCCCGCTCTCATCTGCTCCTGGGATCGCTGACACAGGAGCCTCTCCCTCTGCATCTCCTCCAGCTCAGCCCTCATAGGTGTGACATAGCCCTGGGAGCGCTCTTCATAATGTTCAGACACAAGATTGGGAGGGGAAGCAGTAGCGCCAACTAGAGGTGGTATTGTCTCTCTGGCCTCGGGATAGCGCCCATCGAGTCTTGGTAAATTAATCTCATAATCTTCATAATGGAGGGGCCGACGTACCTTGCGGCGGGGGCATGCTCCGTGGGTCGAATAGTTCTGAATATCATCCATCTTGATAGAGCAGAGACAGCTTATCCGGCTCGAAGGACCATTAATGTTGGGTAGGAACTTCAACTAGAGTAGACTGTAGGCACTGGTTCGGGTGTAAAGCTGTCACTGCTCTGGGGTGTCGGCCAGAACACCTCTTAAGGCCCAGATGAATATTCAGTAGGAGGAGGAAATGAGGAGACAACTGGTGGCGTTCAGGCTCTTGTATTGACATAAGGAGGTACACATTGATGGGGTTGAATATGAGTACTTTGCATATGGGTGTGTGGTTTCTAGGAATAAACAGAAATAAAACATTCAATTACTAATTGTAATAAACAACAAACATACAATGAAACAGTAATAGGAAACTAAAACACATAATAATAAGGTACAAACTTACTGCAGTCATAAACGCACACTTCCAAAAAACCACTCTGCTAATCTAAAGTAAACTCCATTTTACAGGAACCACGTTTTCCCCAGTCACAATTTAGACAATATAGGAGGTCAGAGCGCCCTCTAGTGGACCCTCCACAGATTACAATAAACAAGAAAACTTAACTAACAAGAACTTAGAACTCAAAGGGCCTTTTGTACAGGAATGCTCTCCCTCATCTCCTGAAATCTTGCTCCTCCCTACTTCACGTTAAAACCCTCCTAAAAACACATTTTTTTCAACATGGGATTCCACAGCCCATGAGTTAGGGTTATTTTTAAATGTTCTTGTAGGAGCTATTTGCTTATTTTGTTGATTCTAAAATTTGTTTATTATTTTTGTTTGTTTAGTTAGCTTACTAATTTAGTTTTGTTAATTTGTATAATATATTTTTGCTATGTTAATATTATTCTTGCTAATTTCTTAGTCTAAGTTGGTATTATTTATGTTAGCACCTCTTTTTGTTTTTGATTTAATTTGGGTCACCTAGGGGATAAAGGAGGGTGGTACACATGGACCAGAGTGCACCTGGGTGGGCCTATGGTTTTTTGCCAGTCACGAGGAGAGGCAGCAGGAGTAGGCCTTAAACATGTATTCCTTGTTGCTTGCCAAAAAACTAGAAAATAAATCTTGGAAAATCATCTCTAGTCATGGACATTGATTTGTACTGCGTAAACCACATACCCATGGTGCCCAAAGGGGATTATTTGAGTTATGTTTAGTTCTGAGTTTGCTCACGCTTTTGTTTGTTACTTTTATTTGACAGTCACTACAGTGCTATATAAATAAAATGACTTGACTTGACTCGTTAGTTTTGGCAGATGGTCTTCCATCCGCGACCACTGGATGGCGACAAAACACAGCGGGACATTTCGGCTCCGGCCCACGTCCTGCGTCACCAGTGTGCTATCCACGTGTTAACCAATGAAAGCCTTGCCCTTTGTGGTCTGCTAAAGATGACAAGGAAGTGGGGCGACAAGGCCCTCAAAGTTCTCGTAAATGCGGATATGTTGCCTAGTAAATAGTACCTTTTAACTTATTATGTTTGTTAGCGGAATACTATGAAGATCTCCTGAATGAGTACAACTCACGCGATTTAACGTTACGTTAGTTTACAACACTGTAATAGAAAATGGACAATATAGAGGATTGTCACAGCCCCGGGGCACTAGCACATTCAAGATTTTATGTTTCAAGGCTGTTGTCGGACTGTTTTCTTTGACTGTTGACGCCGTTGTTTGTTTTTCTAAGAGCCAAAGCTTATCAAATCCTTCAGAAGACATGGCTGTAGTGATTGCTCTGAGCTCGGACTCCGACAGTGACTCTGAAGTGGAGATCGTGGGCTGCTACTCTAACAAGAACAAGATGTTGCCCCTGTCCACAGTGCGGGTCCAGGTCGATGCCCTCGACGTCAAGACGCCACTGGTATGTTTTCAAAACAAAACATTTACAACTTTTAATGCAGCTAGTTCTCAGCAATAATGCCAGTAACATTTTCAAGGTAAGAATGTGTAATATTTTTGTATTAGACCTAATAATTGGTTGTTTGGTGTTAGATCAGGTGAACCCTAGTTAACCCTATCGAACCCAGGATTAATCTTTGGCTGAAACGTTTCCTTATGGCTCTTTATTATTTTATTATTTGCACTTTATGTCATAATTTATCTAGAGTGGTGGCAGAGCAGTTAGCACTCTCACCTCACAGCAGGTCCTGGATTTGATTCTGGGGCATCAAATTTTTCTGTAGTGCTTTTCCACCTATACAACAAGGAACTACTCACCCATTCGTACACAATGACAGAATTCATCTGTGGGAGCTGGAATCAAACTAACTGGTTCAGTGTTCAGTGGATCTGACCACTCAATCCATGATGTTTATGCGGGCGCGGGATTCGAACAAACAACCTTCAGATCAGTGTACAAACGCTCTACCAACTGAGCTACTGCCGCCTGCTATTCCACTACTCCACAACTGTGTGGAGTTTGCATATTCTCCCCATGCCTGTGTAGGTTTCTTCTGGGTGCTTGAGTTCCTCCTACCACTAAAAACATGTACTCTTCTGAAAAACATAGTCTTAATCTCAGTGGGACTATCCTGGTTAAATAAAAATCAAATATTAACAACATGCTGTTATTGTCCATGGATTTTCAGTTGATGACAAAAGAAAACTCCTGTGGCAACAGGAAATTCAAAACATCCACACATTATCTTTCAATTACGAATACAAACAAAGGGCACCTTCAAAAAGAAAAAAATAAATAACTGACACCTGCAATGACAATTATAATCGTGCTAGTGTATCATATTTATGGCAAACATAGTTATGTGTCTTTTTTCTTTTGTGTTTTTTGCAGAGTAATCTTGATGTCACAAATGTGAAAAGGGCTCCTGCTGAACTAAATATACTTTCAAGACTTGTTTCTTCACCTCCTGCAGTGGTGGATTTGACTGAATATAACAGATGTGAGGACCAGGAGGATGTAGTTAATTTATCATCAGATGAATGTCAGGTTGTTGAAACAGATTGTCCAGGAGACTCAAGAATTGGTGAAGAATCAACCCAGGTTTGTGAGGAAAGGAGACCTTTTAAAACGCAGCACATGATAAAGCCATCTTGTCATTTGACAACATCCGTAGTGTTAAAGAGGCACTCTATTCTTGAAAATAATCTTAAACGTTTAATGTCAGAAACAGTCTGTGTCATTAAAACTGGTGAGACAATGTCATTGCATTTTAAACAATGTGACGGGAATGTTCTAATTGAAGGTACTGAAAAATCAAATACAATAACATCTCACAACCTTCAGGCCACCATGGAGACTCCACAGAGCAATTCCTGTGCAGGACCAGTCACTGGATCTCACCAAACGTCTTCTCTGGCTCAGTGCATCCCAGCTGACCATTTCCACCAAGAGAATGTAATTTCTCAGCCAACATCAGCACAAAACACTGATGAACTTTCATCTATTCCCTCTCCAGCATGTGCTTCTGCATCCAGCAAAGGACAAAATATATTAACAAATGAGCTCTTTGCCTACAGCCCTTCCCTCCCTATTGGAACTCTAACTGTTCAACCAGCATTTAGTAAATCCAGAAACTGTACTCCTGCCTCTACTGCCTCTACTATCAATCCATCTGATGATGCCCACTCCCTTTCTAAATCTGAGTGCTCAAATATGACAGCACAACTTAAACCACTACATGATGAGATCATGTTAGACAAACTGTCTCATAGTTTTAGTCCTTCCCCCGAATCTGCCCCATCTGGAACAATATATTCAGACAACAAATCTTTCAAATATGAAGAAAATTTTGGAGTCAGTAGCCCAGTATCATTTGATTGGGAGGAAAAGAGAGAGGATGAATGGGCAGCCTTTGAGCTTGGACTGGACATGGACTCTACACAAGATGATAAGTATTATGTATGTCCTGCTGCTTTCAGTAGATTAGTGCATGGTGGAATTGATGTTCTGGTAAGAATTTATTTTTTGTAATATTTCTCTATACCTTTTTACTACATAACAATAATACATTTATATTTTAAAGACTGATGAAGAGGGAAGGACAAAAAATCCAGAGATGCTTGGTCCCTTGAGCCTCAGCCTGGTTTATAGTACCATGCAAGAAGGTTATACAGAAGGAACTTTGCAGCTTCTGTCAGACCTGCTCCAGCCTGGCTACTATCCACCCAAAGATATCACCCTTCACCTGTTGGAGATCCTGCTCAACCCACAGTCTCCACATCACCATTGTGTGCAAGCTTTCAGTCTTCTGATGAAAACACAAAGGTTAGACCACGAGAGCTGAATATTTATCAGTTTTATGTTGGATTTTGTTACATCCTCTTTGTTTTATAGGCACCACATTGCTGATAAATGGTCTGTTTCATGGGACTGGGAAATGTTAAGCAGTACCATGGAAAAGAAGGTACTTTAGGCTGACCCTGTGCTTACTATTGTGGTAGCATGCTACTAAACAAAGCAACATTTTCAGCCTTTGTTTGATTTATTCTATCTTTAAAGTGCATTTGACTGGCTTTAATGTTTTTGTAATCATTTGTTTGTACAGTGGGATAGTGGTAAATGTTTGTCATAGTTTTTTCTTCAGTTGAGTTGAGAAAAATTTACCCCTGCTTGTGCCACATCTGTCACACCCATGTCCAACCAAGAAGTAAATTATAAACCAGAAGATGTAATCCCTCATTTGTTCTGGAATGGTCCAATGTGGCAAAGGTTATCTCGACACGTTTCATTAAAATCAGTAAATCCAACAAACTGTCAGAGTGACTACCTCTGAAACCTTTTCTATGTAAAATTTTACCAAAATTGTCAAACTACAGAAAACCAGGTGTAATTTTTATACATAATCTTCAATATAATAATGTTAGCTGTCTCTTTTTGTGAAATGAGTAGTCTTATCTGTCACATGCACTTTAAATCCTCTGAATGGTCACTTTTTTGTATTTGTAATGTGTAATGTGTTTTTTCCACTTTTCCTCCTGGTCAAAGGAACTCTGCCCTGAAAGTGTACGCATGTTCTTAGATTATGTGGTGCTTACCTTAGAGGATGACTTCAAGACTAAGCAATCTACTTCTGCACTTTATCAGTCCATTGCTAAATCCATGTTGTCAGTTGATCAGCAGTTTCCTCATATAAAGTAAGCATTTTATTTTTTAGGGATCACAATTTGTCTTTTATCTCTGTTGCTTTTGAGTGTGTGTGTGTGTGTGTGAAGTGCGTGTGTGTGATACAGATCTGTGATGTTTTAGGGACGTCTGTAAGTGGCTGTTTTCTGCCATTATGAAATCAACAGATGTTAAGGATATGAAAGGTGAACATACCAGGTAAGAAAGAAATGTCATGTTTTTAGTTTAATTTACATATGCTTACAATTCATCAGCAATACTGCCATGTTACACTGCATAAAATAGACATAAATAATACTAATCCAAAAACTACATTATTATTGACATCTTTTCTCTCTTTGCAGAATGGTGGTCCTCTTCCAGAAGATGCTGTCTTTGGCTCTAGAGGTGGACTACTCTCCAGCTATATGCTCTGCCAAGCTTTCTCAGGAGCTTTTCCACATGCTCATCAGCAATGTACCACAGCGACCACAAAGGTAATAAACTATATACTCTGCACTAATGCAATAATAACAAATATTTATCTTTTCTAATGAAAGTACTTTTTATTTATTTTTTGTTTTTTGTTTTCTAATGGCATTATCTGTTCTTGGCCTTCAGAATGCTGCTTCTGGAGAGCCTGCAGAGCGAGAGGCTTAGGTGTAAGCTGTTGGAACATCTGCTGGACTATTCCTGCCCAGTCAAAACCTCTGTGCCCATATCGCTCAGTCTCCTGCTCCACTTCCTGAAGAACTGCACCCTGTCTCTTGACACTGTTGTAAATATTGCACCTATATTTTTTGCCATTCCTTGCTGACTATATAACAGCAGTGACATAGACACTCAGCATTAAAATCTTCCAAAATACTGAATAGTATCCTGTATACCCCATGGCACCTGAGCAAACTGATAAAAAAAAGGGACCAGCTGAAAAAAAGATTTTATGTTGTATCTGAACTATTGTTTACATATGTTTTCTTAGGATGGCACTGAAAAATGGCGGAGATGGGAAGAACTGATTCATTATCTCTGGATGTTGTTGATCAGCTACAGCAGTGCAATGAAAGGTTAGCCTGCCTTCTAAATCACAATAGCATACTTTTCTCTTTTAAAAAAAATATTAAACTGTCTTTTTTGTTTACTATTTAGGATATCTCATTGGCTCTAAAATAGAACAAAGAGACAGTGTTGGCACAAGGATGTACAAGCCTGAAGACATGTTGTCCAAATCTGCTGTGTGTGAAGCAGTTGAGGCCTTCCTGTCCAGATCTCAGGATGACGTCGGTGAAGCGCTACCTCCACATGTTGAGGAGTCACTCTCCTATTTACAGGATCATTTAATGGATGCCTGTCAGTGTTAAATTAGTGTTAAACTGTTCAAAAAAACTTTTAAGCTGTTTGATAGTCGTTGCCTTGAATTCATATTTATTATATTTTTAAAATTTTGTGTTTCTAATTCAAAAATACATTGTTGCACAAAAACAATTAAGGCTTTGGTGTCTTTATTTGACTACATACACTATATTCTATACTGGTGTAACTATTTTTCAAATTAATAAACGTAACAGAAAAGTACAAAACAACATAACCCATTCATTTTATTACTTGTCATAACATTCGATGCATGAGTTAAAAAATAAAACAAATATGGATGTGATGTTTGTGTGGTACCATATTTGTACCGTCACATTTTGTTTTTATGTCTTGTGGTATAGAAATACGTATTTTTACTAAATGGTCTATTTGGCCTGGCTCAACAGCTGGTTGGCCCGTCTACACTGTGGCCAATAGGAAGAAGCGCAGTTATCGGCAGAGAGGAAAAAAGCCCTGACAGTCGCCATGATACAGCAGCGGAAACGGGGGAGAAGTAGCTAGAAAACAAAAGAGAACACGCAGTCGTCCTCGCTATTTGGTATGCTCTTGAAGGTAAAACTGAAATCCTTCTCCAAATTTATGAACATTTTCCCTCTTAATCTAACGCACGTCTAACGTATTTTATATGAACTGTACATATCTCGCAATCAAGCACAGCTGAACAGAAAATATAACGTAGCTCAGAATTATTCGGATCTTTCAGCTAACGTGCTAACAGAAGCTAGGCTAATTGCTCCCTGTTGGTACCAAACGATTTGTGAAGCTTCGTGTGCATTTGTCTTCTGTGTTAACGTAAATGTTATTGTTTTAACCTGGTTTTAAATAACGATTATGGGCTAAATGAGTTGATACTTTGTGGCCTAGCTAGTGTTAATGCGCATGCTAGTGTTCCGCTATTATGTAAACAACAAATGTACAAAATCCCAGTTCCACTCAAGAAATTGCTTGCATTTCATTTTACTTGCATTAAAACCCCAATGCCCTTGATGTGTACACTGTACGTCTGTCGAAATTAAATAGACTTGTGCAATGTTTATGTGCAGCGTTACTTTGATGGCTAACCTGGCTATTTAGGTTAAGCTAGGCTAATCAGCTAGCCCAATTTCATGTGTTGTTGCTAACATTATCGTGACACTGGAAGCAACACTCATTGATATTTATTGTGTGCTTTCTTTAAAACATTTACTGTCATTTGAAGTTTGGAGTAGCATTGCAGCCATGTAACCTTGTTGTTACTTTAGGCATTTGGTTAACTACTGTTATGTAAAGTGTAATCTCTCTCATTTAACAAGGCATTGCACCAATTAGCAACGCCTTTCGTTTATTTTAAAGCAGGTTCATGCGAAGATCAAGCATCCTAAATAGTTTCCACATTTCCTGTATAGTTGAAATGTAACGTTCTTAATGCCAGTGTGAATATTATTATAAGGTGTGGGTAATAGTGTACCAGTAACAGCCCAATCAAATTTCTATCCTAATTATAGAACCAATAGTGGGACAATGTGATGGAAAACATTGAACAGACAAGGCGAGGGTGAATAGAATTATATTATGTTTTGAATGTATTAAATTCTATGAAACACATGTTTGACTGACTGATGTTTCTTTAGTGTTATAGGAATGCCCAAGGAAAAATATGACCCGCCGGATCCGAGGCGGATGTACACAATTATGTCCAGCGAGGAGGCAGCCAATGGGAAGAAGTCGTACTGGGCTGAGCTGGAAATTAGTGGTGAGAGTTGTGTTTTGTCTTTTGTTTTTCAACTCTCTGTCACATGATTTTGACAAAATGTGAGCATGCACATTTTGAACACTGTAAAATCAAAGGGCAATCTTTTCAGGCACTGGCTATTTTGGGCATTTATATAGAGAACGACTATTCATGGGTTTCAAGCTTCCTTCCTGATTTGAAGAATTTGACAAAAACTTAAATCAAAATGTTATAACTATTTTGTATGGGGAAAGATCTCACAAAATCGTTTAAATCCGGGTGATATCCTAAGCCTGAAATCCACAAAAAAGCCAATGTTTACTTTATTTATTTGATTTGGACAGATACAAAAACATGTTACTGATTAGATCAGAATATTCCAACACGTGACACTAAACTGATCTATCACCAGTGGGCAATATTACCAAAAAGTATATGTCTGCATTATTTTGACCCTTTTCCTGTCATTAGACTTATTTCAAGCTCCCTCTGCTGATAACAGTAAACATTAACCATGAAAAAAGACTTTTAGCAGCCATTTAGCAATAGTAGTTATTGAAATTTGAGTTTAGAAATGCTCACAATGAGTCTGATGATGATTGATTGACTGAAACAAAATTAAATGTCAGGTATGTTTTTGGTGAGGGAACAACCTTGGGACATGTTTAAAAGCTGCAAAAAGTAAATTTTGTGTGGTTTGCCCACTTAAATGTGAGGAGTGCAAGTGCACGCCCTGGGATAAGCTGCTACTTGACAAACCTTTTTTATGATCTCATTTGACTGTTCAAATATTCGTTGTACCTCACACACACTGCACCCTACAGTGTTTATGTGCATAACCTCATGAAATCACAGCCCCTGTGAGGACGGCGACCCCGGTGGCTCAAGCAGGACATCTGCAGGTGGCACTGACTCTGTGTTTGTTAATGGGAAAGCCAATCAAAGAGGAGCGTTTAGCCACTTGTCACAGGTCTACAGTGAAAATAACTAGCAGAATAGGTTTGTATCCATCTGCAGGCTAACTACGCAATTTCAACTGTACATTTCAAAGCAGAAATTAAATCTTTCTGATCCTGGTCTCCTTTAAACGTTGCGGAACTGCCCCAGCAATACATTGTATGGTAAATGCACACATGCATGCTTTCTATTTTGATGGGGATCCGCGCTCTGGGCTCAGGTAGAATGTCAAAAATAGGTTTTGAAATCTACATGGATATGATGTGCTGCTCTATACGTACATCTAGTCCTCCCTATTCACTTTTGATGCATTCAAAATAGGCATCCAAAATGTCCCTCGTATGCTTGTGTAAAGCAAAATACATATGCAGTGTGTTCTAAGCATAATAAAGCAACATTGGGAGGTGAGTGCCTCTCTTGACAGTGAGAAGGTTCTGGGTGCAATGAGTAGGTGTGGGTTTCCTGTGTCATAGGTTTACCTCCAGGTTGTCCACTTTCATCTACCTGAGAAAAGATTTAGCCCATATAGTGATGACTTGTAGTTGTAGCAATTTTCAAATTTTGTTTTTTCATATTAATTAAATGCAATGAGACACCAGTAGTTGCTTAGGAAGTCCTGGCGGAAAAACATGCAGTTTTATCCCACCCTCTATCATAACTCTGTCCCTGTTTCCTCTCTGCAGGTCGAGTGAGGAGTCTCAGCACAGCTCTGTGGTCTCTTACCCATCTCACTGCCCTGCACCTCAGTGACAACTCCTTGTCACGCATCCCGCCAGACATTGCCAAACTACACAACCTGGTGTACCTGGATCTCTCATCCAATAAGATCAGGAGCCTGCCGGCTGAGCTCGGCAACATGGTGTCTCTCAGGTAGCATCTAGACCTTTGCTTGTATTTTTATTATCAGTTTGTATTTGCATTATTCTGATTATATCTGTTTTTGACAGGGAACTGCTTTTAAATAACAACCAGTTGCGGGTTCTACCATTTGAATTGGGAAAACTATTTCAGTTACAAACACTGGGGTTGAAAGGTGATTCTCCTGAAACATTTGATATTTTTTTTTCCTTTCTGTTTGAAACTCACATATCTTGTTTCTTTTGAAAGGAAACCCACTTGCACAAGAAATTATGAGCCTCTATCAGGAGCCTGACGGCACACGGAGACTGCTCAACTACTTGTTAGACAATCTGGCAGGAGCGATAAAGCGCAGTGAGTTCTCTGCCCAGTGCTCCAAGCTAATCATTGAATAATCTCAACGCATGGGTGATATCAATTCAAGTTAGATATTTTTGGGGAAAAATATCAAATGACCAAAATATGAATAGGAAGGGAGAAGGGAGAATCTAGTCACATAAATACGGTTAATGCCTATGTAATATAAACAAAATCAATGGGAAAAATGCAAATTTTACAAGCAATAACTAAATAAATTTTACACATCAGAGCATCCTTGTTAGCTATAACTGTTATTTTCCAAGCCAAAATAAATAACACAACACACATAAAGCCAGAATGTATTGAATTGTAATAGATGATTCTGTCTCTTCAGTACCAACAGAGCAGCCCCCAGCTCGGTCGTGGATTTCACTGCAGGAGCCTGACCGGACGCGAGCGTCAGGTAATTTTGAGCAGAATGTTGATGGGAAATGTTATAATGTGTTATTTGTAGATAACCCTAAACATGGCCATGTATCCTTTTCTGTAGCTCTGTTTTCAGTGATGTGCTACAATGTGCTATGTGACAAGTACGCCACCCGTCAACTATATGGCTACTGTCCGTCTTGGGCTCTAAACTGGGAATACAGAAAGAAGTCCATCATGCAGGAGATCCTCAGCTGCAATTCAGATATCATCAGTTTGCAGGTGAGGTCCACAAACATTTACTCAATATTAATGATTAAAGATCAGATGTATTATTAGGTTTTTTGAAGCAATGTTTGAGCATTTTATCCTTTTTATATGTCACAGAATTAAAATCAAATGATTCTGCTTATTATGCTATTTTCTGATCTATGTTATAATGTTGTTTCCTCATCAGAAACATACCTGGAGTTGTGCTTTGTTTCATTCACACATGTTTTACACACAAATGAGTTTTTCTCACAAATGGAACACTTCTGTTCCACCTTGTGATGTCATGTGGTAATACAGGAGGTGCTCCACTGTGTTTTTAAACTCCATACACCTTCATTAGGGTTTGGCTTAGGGTTAGGGTTAGAATAATTTGGATACTTTCACACCTGGGATTACCAAGATCTACTGAACTAAAGAAAAAGGTTCCTATTTACTTAAAAACTACTACTACATGACATCACAAGGTGGAACAGAGCATTCTGAGCTGTGGAAATATAGACAGACTAATAATAAAGGATTACTCATGTTTGAATGAAACAGAAGACTACTCCAGGTGGGCATTCCATCAAAGTGGAAATCCAGGTTTATCCTGAAATCCTGAGCTGAATCTGGGTCAAACCAAAGCTAGTTCAGGCCTGGAGTTTATGCTGCACTTTGTGCACACTCGCGGTGACTCTGGAAAGGCCAGGTCAATGGAGCAACTACATCACGGAAAATGGGCCAAAAATTTGATGTTTTTTATGATGTGACTGAACGAGAGAGGAACCACAGCGAGCACCCACAGAGTATGATTTAGGCCATGGAAGTTTTCCGGTTATTCTGATCTGAGCAGCAAGAGGAAAAACACCACTCCCCCCTCCTCTCCCGGTCGCTCCATGGACAGAGAGGAGGCTGACTGCAGAGTGCAGAGCCTGGTTCATACTCCTGGGGAATGAAGTTACCTGACCCCTTGCATGGTAGTATGTGCAGAGCTTAAGCTTCGCTGCTAGTAAAAGTAAAGCTGTAACGGACACATCTTCACATGTACCATAACAAAAAACGATAAAATCTGCTCCAACGGACGACATAAAGGACAGAATCCACTGAAAACCAGTTCATCCTCAGAGTCCAAACCAGAGCCTGTCTGTGTGTAAAAGCTGCACTGCCCCTCACAACAGCCATGTGCAAGTTAATTTTAATGAAATAATGGCCATAGGCTTTACATGGCTTGTGCCTTTTATGATGAGTGCAGCGTCCACGCACACACGCGAAGGAGCTTATGGACTGTAGAAGTCTGAAGCGACACGCAAGTCACTTTTTAAACTGTATCAAACACACCTGTGCGTGACTGCCTTTGCTGAAACTTTTGACTTTCTTTAGAGGTTCTTGGAGACAGAACTAATTCAAGCGCAATCAGAGGTGGAAACGTGGTCCCCCATGAGGCATTTTTGGGGCAGTTCCTCACCAGCCAGCTTATGAGGAAATTGCCTCTCCTTTAGAATGGTGTAACCTTTCAGTTGACCTGTATGACCTCAAATGACCTTGAATGGTCGTCAAACTTTCTTTGCAACATCAGGCACGGGGGCTTGACAAACGTACCAGATTTGGTGACAATTGGTCCATAGATGGCAGAATTATCGGAGGTGGACAGACACACAGGGTGAATACAAAACCTGGTCAACCCTTCAGGGACCAGGTAATAATCGTGACAGTTAGCCTGGTCCTGTCCAGGTTTGTTTCCAGGTGTTTGTTACTGCGGCAACCTGGCACCACCTCTGGTATGATTTTGACGAGGTAACTACATTCTAAACATGGTGTAAAGCTCAAGAGTGAATTGTGTGTACCGTATTTTACGGGCTATTAGGTGCTCTGGATTATAAGACGCACTGTCATTAAATGGTCTATTTTCTAACTTTTTTCACAAACAAACCGCACTGGACTTTAAACGAAACACAACAGTTCGATGGGTCAGTTGGACTTTGTTTGGCGCCTTCACAGTGACTCTCGGCTTTGTTCAATTGTGGTGCATAGGGAGGGTGCTGTCTGGGTCCGCTGGATTGTTGGCCTATTCGCAGTGACTCAGTTGTTCAGTTGTGGCTCAGAGTGGCACAGTGGACTCGCTTTATCGGTTCGTTCCTCGTCCGCGTGGAGTGATGAGTGTGGCTGAGGGTGTGTTTTGCTGCACGGTCACGGTCTGCTCCATGCGTGTTTGTGTGAGCTGCAGGTGGTGCGGCTTTGTAGTTTACTGAAGTCATGCTGGGACACCCGAGTGGATTCGTGTTTAGGGCGCTCTGGATTGCGGGGCGCACGGTTGTTTTTTGATGGGGTTAGAGGCTTAAGAGCGTGTCTGATAGCCCGGAAAATATGGTAATATAGGACTTTTTAAGCAAAAAAACAGAAAGTCCAAATGTTTACATACAAAAAAACTCCAGCAGAGGGAACTACTTCTGGTTCACTGAAGTTCACACAGTAAATATGCTATCTATGAAATTTCTTTTTTTTTTCTATTATATATTATATATATTATGTGTGTGTGGGTGTGTATATAAAGAAATAAATAAAACTTATAACTTAAAACTATGATAAAAATCTCCAAGGAGATAGAGGGATGGATGGATAGATAGATATATCTATCAAGAGAGAGATAGGTATTGAAAAGATTACCTAGCAGTGTTTTAAGTGATTTGACTGACCACATTACAGGAAGTAGAGACCGAGCAGTACTACAACTTCTTTTTGCCGGAGCTGAAGGAGCAGGGCTATGATGGGTTCTTCAGTCCAAAGTCTCGAGCCAGGACGATGTCAGAGTCAGACCGGAAACATGTGGACGGCTGCGCCATTTTCTACAAGACGGAAAAGTATGTTGACATTTTATTCCCAACTCTTCACAGATAAAGGGAGAAAAAGTGAGTGAAAGGAGTCTGTATTCACACAGCTGACATAATTTCACGTACACACCATAAACCATGTCTTACCTGTATTTTTTTCTTGATGGATGTAACAAAGTGTGGTGACTGTTTGTTTGCCCAGGTTCAGTGCAGTGCAGAAACACACGGTGGAGTTTAACCAGCTGGCCATGGCAAACTCCGAGGGCTCTGAGGCTATGCTCAACAGAGTCATGACGAAGGATAATATCGGGGTGGCTGTGCTGCTCGAAGTACACAAAGAGATGATGGAGGTCTCCTGTAAGTTCATTTGCATGTGTATGTGTGTATTGCTTGTCACAATGTTTTGTGGCAATATGCAACTAAAGATATCTTTTATTTTAAGCCGGAAAATCCCTCCATGGCATGGAGAAGCAGCTGCTCCTGGTGGCCAATGCTCACATGCACTGGGACCCCGAGTTCTCGGACGTCAAACTGGTCCAGACCATGATGTTCCTGTCAGAGGTGAAGAACATTGTGGACAAGGCCACACGCAGTCTCAAGTTATCGTCCGTCTCTGGAGAAACCAATGCCATTCCCCTGGTGCTGTGCGCTGACCTCAACTCCCTCCCAGACTCTGGTAAGTGCTGGGGTTAGGGCACTGCTCAGACACCTCAGGGTGCCAAAGGCTCTTTCAGTACCAAGCTTTAATGCCTGGTGGTTAACTCAGCAACCGCTTCAGTTTTGAGTATCCAACTAAAGGCAATCTGCTTACTTCGATGTGGAGTGTGTAGTCTTCGCTGGTACAGTACTGGTGTAATTTACCACCATTATGACTGAACCTGGGAAACATTCTCAATTTATGTACCAGTATAAGGAAAGGCCATGTCTCATGTGAATGCTCACAACTTTCAAATTCAGTCACTGAGCTCCAGAGGCTGCACTAGCACTCACGACGAGAACAGTTAATGTAGGCGCTGGAGTTATTGAGTGTTAGGAAAGGGCCTTTTTTGGATGTTAATTAAAATTAAATCAGCATTACAAGTGTATCAGTATTTGATTTGAACTTCATATTTTGAAGGAATTTTTTAATTAAATATTTATGAATAGTCCTTCATAGCCAACTTTTCTCATGTACACGTATTTTGGTTGCAGTTATTTTTCACTGCCCATTTTTGCCCCATATGTGACAAAACCTCCACCTGTGACCATCTTCTTGTTAATGTAAACAGATGTAAAGGAACTATCCATAAACCACTCAAATATCAGAACTACCTTTACTGTCATTTATGGTGTTTGGTTTCTAGTACAGCGTACTGCAGTCCTCAAAACTGCAGCATTTTAAAACATGAAAATTCATCACTGAGTTGTGCATGAAATCAATAATTGGCATTTTAACTCAACTTTCAGCTTAATTTGCTCTAAGAGTTGTAATAACTGAAACATTGTTATGATTAAAAACATTTGTCCGCATGGTTAGTGCTGCACTAAATATCAATTCATCCACTTTAAGCTTCATTGCTTATAATGAACAAAAATCTGTGAAAATCAACTTTGATAGATTCAGTATGGTGCTGACTGACATCTCTGCTAAATAAACAATGAAGGCTGATGTGACTAAACACCCATTTCTCAAACAAACCAGAGAATTCTTCAGGGTCTGAGATGAACTCACGACAACAAAGTAAAGTTGCTATAAATCTTACAAGTTAATCTCGGTTTACAAAAAAGTAACAACAATCACATCTCTTAAGCTTCATTGCTTGTCTATTTTCTTTGGAAAAGAGTGTAGAGTATGACTAAATGTATTTCTTTGGGCTCAGGTGTGGTGGAGTACCTGAGCTCTGGAGGAGTGGACTGCACTCACAAGGACTTCAAGGAGCTGCGTTACAGCGACAGTTTGACCAAATTTAACTGCAATGGCAAGAACAGCACGTCCAACGGCAGGATCACCCACGGCTTCAAGCTAAAGAGCGCCTATGAGAACGGTCTGATGCCTTACACCAACTACACCTTTGACTTTAAGGTACGTCCTGAAAGAAGTCATGTTTACTGTGCTCTCATTAGCTTTTGGTCCCATGTGAATGCAGCGTCTATCTGTCCTACTGCTCCCAAAGAGAGGACATGTGAGCCATGTCAGACATGTTCATAAAGGACTCAGGTTTGGTCAATGGTGAGATGTACATGGAGTCACTGTAGCCCAAGACCTCCTCATGGCCCAACCAAAACTACACTGGCACCACGAGTGACTAGTGTTTCTCCTTAACATAATATATGGGATCTTGATTGACAAAAGTTCATACTTTTGAAAAGTTAATTCATGGTTTAAAAAGTGTAGGTTTTATAAAATGGAATTTGAATGTAAATAATTGTGACGGTATCAAGAAGTGCATAGCAAATATTTGCTATATCCGTGTTTGCCTGATAAAGGTTACATTTTTGAATTTGGCATCACTGCCGCCTTTTCCACGCAGATGTTGTAGCAGAGCTTGGACCAGATAATGATTTGTATGAGTACAAGTGCTCGCTGGTAGTGCGACCCATGATTATTTCATATGGCCTTGTTTTTAATTTGGTGGCAAATAAACACCTTCTGTCGATGACACTTCATGGGTTCACTTAAATGGTATGAATGTGGGTTATTCTACCTCTACCCACTGTAGCTGGTGCAGGAACCGGCACCATTCTGGCTGGACTGAAAACAGCTAGAGAGAGAGTGTGTGTGTGTGTGTGTGTGTGTGTGTGTGCGCTGGCGTGCGTGCGTGCGTGCGTGCATACGTGCGAATGGGTGGTTCGTTGATGGTTTTAAGCTTTGTTAGAGTCAGATGGACGTAGGAAATGTAAATATGACAATTTACCATTTGTTATTCTGGTCGTCAGGGTGTCATCGACTACATTTTCTACTCCAAGCCTCACCTGAACGTGCTGGGGATCCTGGGCCCCCTGGACCCCCACTGGCTGGTTGAGAACAATGTGACCGGGTGCCCGCACCCCCACATCCCCTCTGACCACTTCTCCCTTTTCGCCCAACTGGAGCTGCTCCTGCCCAATGCGCCCCCACAGGTCAATGGGCTGCACCTGCCTGCGCGCAGGTAGTGAGTCCCTGCCACACCACCAGAGGGAGCCGCCACCACAGCCGCTCTGTTTTTAATCTTCTCCCTCCCACTACCAGCTCTCCCCCACCACACTGGAGGGACGACGAAACACAACCTGTAAAATAAACGTTCAGTGAGGTCTGGCCGACAGGGATTTCGTATAATGTTATAGATATTCTATATTTTTCTTTATCCTTTCTCCTGTTTTTATTTTTAACTGCTCAATTCAGTCAGTGTTTGTATCAAATTTTGTGTTGCAAATCCCCTTTTTTTTATCAAATCCTCCACCTTCTTTGTCATTATCTTTTTAATCTAAGCAGACGGTAGCTCATTTAGTTTGTCACACACAAAGGTTGTTTAGTGCAAGAGAAACCAAGGCTTTATTGGCACTGAAAGGCGAGCTACTCTCTAACCAGCAAAGACTGCACACAGTTTCAGACTTCTTTGATCAGCACTGGGCCCTAAGATGGCCACAGAGTTGTGTGTCTCTGATGTGAGCGCTTTAGAGCAGCTTCGACCAGTCATGGGAGGCCATGTTTCCTGCTGTCATTCTGTGGTGCTTCGGTCTCCTTTGGTGCTACAAGAATTTACAACTGTCCAATGTCCCTTGTAGTGTGGAGTTTTAAGAGGATGTGAGACAAATAGTGCAGCTACCGTCCTGTTTGCAGACTGTTTCGCCCCGACTCGTAGTGAACACAAGGCTAGTCTAGTGTTAGGAGCTTACATGGCCCACATCACCTTTAGGCAGGGCAACTAGGCTGAAGGGAGAGAGATTGGGGGGGCACCTTTCCCACTAATCTTTCCTTTTATTTGAATGCTTTTAAGAGAGCGTCTAATGGCTGAGACACAGGAGTAAAACCAGCATTCCTCTCACTGTCCTCCCACACATGAACATACACACACACTAACACACACGTGCTAACACACAGCTAATTCGTAGACAGATTTGTAGCACTGTCTCAAAGGCCAGTAGTGACTTTCCCCAGCCATAAACCCCATATACAAAAACAGTGGTTTTTCACAAGTGTTTGTACAGAATAGGAATCTCGACTCAGTCTTTACATGATTGTATATGAACCACAAAAGACCTGTTTTCTGGCGTTTTTTGTACTAAGAGTAAATTATGATCAGATTTGAAAAAAGATTGTATTGTAAACTATGGCTAAATTTTTATCCAGTTAATGTTGAGATGAATTGATATTACCAGCTTGTACAAAAGACGTAAGAAAAGGTTGTTCGAGGCGTTTACTGTCACTACTTTGCACTCCCCTGAGATTAACTGTAATTAATGTATTTGATTTGGCCCTTCTCTGCTCATTTGTTTTCGGCACATCGCTGCGATTGTAAATAGACACTGAGTGAAGTTGGCCTGTTGCTTGTTGCCCATTAACAAAGTCATTGATCCGCGCTGCTGCCATCACATTTGAACACACCCGACTAAAGGCAGCCCACATCTGTTCTCAAATCCCACTTGTACAAACCAACATCGTGCCTCACTGTAGCAGTTGTTGTTGTCTTGCACTATTTACACTCGAAGAACGCCTGAACAACCTTTTCTCCTTTTATTTTTAAATACTGTTGACACATTTGAAGATTTTATGTCCTTTGTTTTTGTTAAGTTCCTTTTTTATGAGCTATGACAATGTCATGATGATGTGTATAATCCTCCTTCTCATTCAGCTCTATAGTATTCAGGTATGCGTTCCCCTTTGCCCCTTCCTCATCCCCTGTTGGGACATGAGTGGTCGTCTGTTCTCAAATCACTGTCTTGAGTTACACCAGTTTAGTATCAGCACAGCTTTCTGTTCAGACCCTCTGCTCCATCTGCCCCCGCCCCACCCACCTGTAACCTCCTGACCTCAGACTAACCTCCATGATCAGACTTAAGCTGTGTTTTGAACCCTCTGCCCCTGTGTACAGCTCCGTATCACTGCAGTTATAGTGCCATTGATGGACCTACCTTTGTCCCACTGAAGGTGGAAGTCCCACTTTGCTTTTAGACACATGAGAAAAGGGGCGGAGACTCAGCTGATGCTGTGATACATTCGTCACATCTCAAAGCCGTGAGACAAGCCTCAACTCTTATTCAGGCAGCCATGTTTGAACATGGACCACACACTGAGCACTTAGGCCCAGCTGAGCCCCCCTGTCCTGCCTCTGAAGGCTCTCTTAATGTAATCTCAAAACATTTTAAAGCAAGAGGGAAGCAAGTAAATAGGAAGTAAACTTAGCCCTCATAAAGTTGACCCATTTGTTTGCCCCACTTGGTTGTTTTTAAACATTTTTTTTCCAATGGAAATGTGTCCAGATTTTTTTTTTCTGAATGGCATTAGTATTGTAGTAGATTTAAAGGCTAGCTTTTTGTAAAGTGTGAATAAAAGATGTATCTCATGTTTCCTTTCTAAAATGATATTGAATTGTGTTTGTTGATGTGTAAATCATGAAATCTATGATGGTGTTATGTTTGCTACTTTGTTTTTATTTGAACTCAATATTTTCCATAAACTGTTGTCCCATCACAAACCAAATGCTCTGTAGAAATCATGACGTGTAGATGGTTGTTCCCGGCAATGCCGTAGGAGGATCTTCTCTGGTCTTTGGTGTTGGTGACACTTTAAGCACAGGGATACTCAGTCTTTTTGGTCGTATCTTTCAGCTTTATTTTTGGATGTGGCACTGGCAGAGGAGCTGGTGTCGGTAGTGTAGGCAGCAGCGCTGTCTGTAGTGGCTGCAGGTGAATAGACATCACTGGTGCTGTTGTGTTGACTGGTCCTGTGATGGTTTTCAGTACTTAGTCCATCTCACTAGTTCTTGTGCATCACAGTGGTTTCTCTGTTACACTAGCTAGCTACTATTGGTGGTCACAGATTTGTTTTGACATTATTTCAGGTTGACTCCCATCCTCCCCCACCCTCTCATTGTTTGTGACAAAAATCAGTGATGTCACCCGTAGGCTTCAGCGAGTGGTCACTTGTTTAGTGTTGTACTTTTCCCTCCTGCATTGTTTCATAGTTTGCTCATTAGGCGTACAACAATTTCCCAGGCTGCATCGCTCTGTCACGGTACACACCAAAGCTGCTTCTAGTGCATTTCACCAACCAACATGTCCATCCAATACTAACCATAGTCTCCATCAACTGTAGGGCTGAAAGGAAAGCACTGTCCTTTTCCTTAACTCTCATCCACTCCTTCAAACCCATTCTGTTAAACTTTGGCTCATTCCATCATTTTCCCAAAAACTTGGCAATAATTCCCTTAACCATTCAAAATCACTCACAATGGATTTTAAATATTTTACCTGAAATATGTAGCTCTTTTGTCTTTTCAAATTGTGCTTGCTTTTAATCTCTGCATCTTCACTCTAATGTTCTGGATTAGTTTGGCTGTCACCCCAATACCTTTTAACACTTTGGTTACATCCATCTTGTATATTTACTCATCTCTTCTCCCCTGCCAATTTTTAGTGGTAGTTGTTCAATGATCAGGATTGTCTATCTGTAGTCAAGCTGAGTACATATATTGATCTGTGTCACTGTGTTTTATGCACTGGACCAACTATTGTTTACCATTCATTAAATACCAGCAAAAAAGCGAATAATAATGACAAAACACTTGCACAATGATGTAGAATGTCCATTAACCCAGACGAGAAATCAAGGCAGCTGTTTTCAAATCAATACTGTTTGCAAACGAATTGAATGGTAAACAATGCTTTTCTGTTGTACCCTTAGCCGTCCTCTCCACTCCTTTTGGACTATAGTTTGGTTCTTTGTTTTTCTGTTGACTACAGGATCTGCTTGTTTCCTTTACACCTACCTATGTATTTTCCTACTTCTGGTTGAAAATAAATTCTATATTATCTGTTTCAAGCGGTGTCACCTCTTATTCTTTGCATATGGTTATTGGAAAAATAAATTCTATATCTCTTCTTGTCTTGTACTTTTGGCTTCCTTTTTTTTAGTTTTGCAGTCTGGTATGTTGGTTGGCTGAACATGGGCTGAAGGACATTGTTCTAAAACCTCTAGTAGTTAAAAAATATACATATATTTTGGACCTCAGTCATGGGCTCGCCCGAGCACTAGCATGTAATTCAATGTAATGACAATTTCTCAGTAATCAAAACTGAAACTCAATTTGGACTCAGTTGCGTAACTTGCAACAAAAAAAAAAAAAATGCACTGTAGTCCTATATAAAACCTGGATTCCCAACATTTTCTTCCTTCCTCTGCTGCACTGGAGTTGTGTAATGATACACGTAATAATCGGTAACGACAATCAAACTTGAAATTTGAAAAACGTAATATTGTAGATGATATATTCCTCGCAGTCTCCACCAGGGGCGCTCTTCGGTCTCGTGTCAGCAGCAGCTCCCTTCGCCCCTTAAGTCTCTTATCACACTGCACTGTTCTGAGCCACACTCGCCCTTCGCTCCCCTTTCGTAGGTTGGAAATTAAATGTGAACGATCCACATAAGACTAATAAAGTTTAATAACAAATGCATCCCAGAGATGTATGCAGTACTGCCTTTAGACACACGGTGGAGCCATAGGATCACCTCTGGAGTCATCGCAAATGGAGAGTTGGTTCAAGGTGTGGGCATCAATTTCCCAGAAGATTTATATTACCTTTTGAAAGAGCTGAGTGACGTATTTTCACATAATTAACAATGGTCAGACATATATTCTTCAAATCCAACTATGTTACTTGAGAGGTTAGTCATGCTGGTGTTTATACTGTTCCTAGTATGCCCTACTGCACGAAGCTTAGGCCTATCAAATGCCAAAAATCTCAAAGATGAATTTAGTAACAACTTTGTGTAGTTTTCTCTTTGAAAATTCTAGTTTGCTGAGTGTCCTGAAAAAAAGGAAAACACAACTTGAGCTGCTGAGCTAAAGTAAGGCCTTTATTCAGTCTGTCAGATGAGATGTTAGAAATTACAATAGGAGGTGTGCAGCTCATGTTGGCCCCCTCTCTGTCTGGTGTTGACGTGGCAGTCGCAGATCCACTCTTAGACTCCTCCTCTTGTTTCAGCTTGTTTTCCTTCCTCTCCATCCTCTTTTTAATCCATTCCTTCTGAAAGTCCCACTTGAGTGTATGGGACTGACTACTGGGCCAGTCGTCTGTGTGATGTGCAGCCAACTCCTCCAAACACACACAAAATACTTCTCTTCAGAATAGGGGTTCAAGTGGTGAAGCTGCAGAACTGGCTGTTGAAACATAGGTAGTCTTGAATTTGGTAGCCCTGGGATCCAAAATGTGTTGGAATTCAAGATACTGATACTGTGGAGTATAAATCTCAGATTTGCAAGTCTTTTACAAAACACAATTGTTAACCTTTTACCATTTGATTAAAAGGAGATTATAAAACTTTACATGCAAATTTCGCAGAAACTTGACCAATCTGTGTTCCACTATACAAGATAAACCTGTTTAAAAGATATTTATCTTTTACTGATAACAATGTAATGAAGATTTATTGTTTTCACTATTATTACAAAAAAATGCTGGACACAGTGACCAAGTTGTTTTGGTTCCCAAGACAATTATCCAATCAGAAAGCAGAATTAGCTTTGCTTAAGTCTCTCATTTGGGTACCTGACCTATATGACTCAAACCAGTTGGAAACAAACCTCTCTAATTTGAATCTTCACTACCCTAAAGCCCAGCATATGCAGCCCATCATTAACCAGTGCTAGTGCAGTCTCTGCAGCTCAGTGAGTGAGTTCTGGAGGTTTGAAGCTTTCAATTGGACTGAAAAGCATGCACAAATATCCTCTTACTGTTTCTTGGGGAGCACAAATCACATCAACAAACTTGGCCTTCGAACAAATGGAGCAAATTGGACACAAACGAAGTCTGATTTGTGGATTTATTGTGGAGAGGATGACACCTTGTTGTAAAGCAGCACATTGGACGGTGCGCCTGTGTGTCTGAGGGCTTTACAGGTCTTGTTAAACTGCATGGGTGTGGATGTAGACCCCATTACAAACCAAAAGGGGACTATTTCTGTATATGAGGACCAGCACATGCCTGTGCTTGTTCAGGGTGGTCAGGTGGCTTTGGGCAAGATGTGAAAAAGATTAACTGGGCCAAAGACACATCTGAAGAGAACAAGGAATTTAAGAGAAGGCCAAAGAAAAGCAGTTAGACTTTATAGTGTCCAGTGGTAGTCTACGTATGCAGACCCCCACTAAACTACTGGCCCAATCTCCTATGGGAAAGATGGTGTCCAGACATGAATTCAGTGGCAGATCTTTTGGTTCAGTGGGTAAATGTTCTGTCCATCTTTTCTTTTAGACTATAGACATATGTAATTTTCACATATAAAGAATAAATACATTTTTGTACTGTGCCTGGTTCTATCTTAGGTTTGTATAAACACATCCATGCATTTATAAAGCACGGTATTAAACTCATTATTATTCAGTTAATTAAAGTGGATGTCTCACCTTTTCAATCACACATTTTCGTTCCACATTGCAAGGAGCAGAATTCTCAGTTGATTACAAGTTGGTCATCAGTGCAAAAAGTAGAAAGATACAGAGTGATAATTTACTTTTACTTTACTTTATAGAATTATTACAACAATTTTGCAACAATACAATAAAATACATACTATATAATACAAATAAAATACAGTCTGCACATCTTTCCTACTGGAGCAGTTTCTCAAAACATGAAAACTAACACAAGGTAAGTCAAACTGAGACTCATTATGTTATGTTTTGTTTCATTCACACATTCAAATCATCTCCAAAGGTCAAAATGCTCTGTTCAAACGTGTTATGTCATGAAGTGGTAGTCTTCAAGTTAACACCTACCTTTTACCTTTAGTTCAGTAGAGACAGGGAATTCCATGACTGAAATTATCCAAATATTTTGAGTGAAGGAGTATGAAATTTAAAAACACAGAGGAACTCAGCATAAATATGCAGATTTTGTGCGAATGAAACTAAACTCTGCTTGTGATTAGGAAACAACATTATAACAGAGAATATCTTAATATGGGCCCTTTAAGTAATGTACTGTTGTAGTATTCAGCCAGTAGTTGATCAGTGTTACATACTTCTTCCTCTTTTTGACTTTCTGCACAAACCACAGATCATACAAAATACTGTCTTGTGGTCTAAGCGTCAGTTATGAGCTAATGCTGATGGCACTTATCAGTTGTCAGGAAATGGACCGAAACAACACCATGCCGATGGTGTCATAAATACATGTAAAAATATAGTGTTGATTCGGTGGAAAAGGTGATTTGAGGAAATTCTTGCAACACAACTGCAGATTGCATAAGATGGCTCGTATGATTCCAGACAGTGAAATACTGAAGCAGTATTGATTTCCCTTTTAAAGAATAGATGAGTTTAGGTCGTCTGGTGGTTTCCCTTGTGGACATACACATGAGATAAG